CAAAGCTCATTTTGAAGGGAATAAAATTTCCTACAACTCATCTTCACACTTCAAGTCCAAGAAATGCTCTCACAAAAAGTTATCAATTTCAACATTATAGGTCATTTTCAAAAGTCAACAAAAAGGGACTTTAAGTCAAAGACCATAACTTGAGATTGGTAAATCAAAATGACATGGGACAAAAGAAATTGATTAGAGGACTTCAAGACCTTTCCAAAATGTCCAAGAACATATTCATAACTTCAAAATTGAGCAAGATATGCATTTGAGAAGTTGGGAAATTTTTGTGAAATGGCCAAAATCAATTATCCTTGAAACTTCATTTTTGACAAAAGGGGCCCACTTTTTCCACTTGAGTCAGCTTTTCCATGCCTCCCACGTGTCCCATGATTTATTTCAAGATTAAAAATTAATTTTTCTATTTTTATTTAATTTTATTTGATTTAATTCATTTTAAATCTTTAAAATTCAAATAAAAATCAAAGAAATTAATTGAGGGATATCTTTGAGTTTGAATAGCCTTGATACATCATAATTCACATGCCAATTTCGTGTACAGCCTATTTCAAGCATAAAATTCAAATTTGGAGCAAATATGGCAAGTTGTTTCAATGGTGATTATGGAGAAAATCAAAACTTCATTGCAAGGCTTAAAAGCTCCTTAATGTGACGGATTCTCATCCAAGCCTATATATACAAGCCTTGCAAGCCTCATTCACAACCTAGAAAAAGTGCACAAACGTCCAGAGAAAAGTTCAAAATTTGTCAAAAAAGTGTGAGATCAAAAGGAGTTTTTGCAAGCATTTTCAGGCCAAGAGGAGAACGTGACTCTCTTCTTTGCCATACCCTGAAGCTAAAGCAACCCTTGCCACGTCCTAAGGTCCATCATACCGCGCTGTAAGTTTTCCCAGGTCCCCAAATAATTGTTTCATTTTTTCTTAACATGTTCATGTACAGGCAGTCCAAAGCTCCACACCATGCTCCCTGGTCAACGCGCCTCTGGACGATCCAAAAGTCAAACAGGCTTTGATGCTATTGGGCCAAATTCCAGACCCACCTCCATTTTTGTTCAGCACCCTTGGTTTACTTTTTTTTTCATTTTTTTCTTTTTTCCTTTTTATTTTCTTTAGTAATTATTCTTAGTATTATTTAATCAATTAACATAATTAACATTTTTACAAATAAAAATTCAGAAAAACCATAATAATAAAAAAACATTTTATATTTATTAACTTATTTTGTAAATAAACATTAATTGAAATAGTTTAATTAGGCAACTCTAACTTTTCTTTTAATAATTAAAATAAGTTTAGAATTAGGTTTATTAACTTTTAATTTTATTCCCTTTTATTTTTATTTTCATTAAAAACATAAAAACACAAAAATATTTTCTTTTAATAAATTAATTAATTAGTTTAATTATTAGTTATTAATTTCATTTAATTCCAAAAGACAAAAAAAAAATCAATTTCTTTTCTAAAAAAAAAAGGGTCAACACCCTTAGACATTCCTGATTAATTTATTCGCGCGCATTTACTTTATTTGATTATTATGTAATTGCCTTGAAGAATGTAATAGTTAAATAGGTTTATCGCTTTATTAGATTTCCGTACTTATTTACTAAAAAACGGGTCTTTGTAATTTTTGGCGATGTATAGACCCGCGCCTTGTGATAGCGTAGGATTTATGTTTCCGTAATTTACTTTCCGCACCCCTTAAGTGCTAAACTTGCATGAAAGAATGTATGTAAATAAAAACAACTCGTAGCTCACTAATTAACAAGACAAACATAAACTGAAAATGACACACAATTCACACACCACTTCTAGGGTACGACTCACTATTGCCTTCCCCTTCGAATCGTGGTCGTCGAGTATAGGACGTTTTAGTAAGTCCTTATGTCCATGAACATGGCATAAGGGTAGCTTCTAAGGTGTCCTACTATTGCTCTGGTGACCACATTGTTGCCTTGCCCCTCGAAACGTGGTCGTCGAGTATAGGACGTCTTAGTGAGTCCTTATGTTCCATTGATCTAGTTGCCTCGAAACGGTTGCCTCGAAACAAGTTGCCTCAGAATAGTTGCCTCGGAATATAAAGATCAATGGCATAAGGGTAGCTTCTAAGGTGTCTTACTGTTGCTCGGTGACCACACTGTCCCTAAACTCGAATTGACCCGAATACCTCCAACGGTGGTGCTACCTACCTCTCAATGGTGGGATGGCACTACCTTAAGGACATTAACACAGCCTAATTCCTTAGGGTAGGTAGATGACTCGTAGATACTTGCTCTAATTCAAAACAAATCAAAACTCTTTTCACACCGACACTTTGCAAAAAGCTTTCAAAAACAACTTTTCAAACACTCTTGAGGACTGATACAAGAGTCGATCTGAAACTTTCAAAGAAACTTTTTTCAAACTCACTCACAAATTGAAAAGCAAACAAACATTTTGAACACACAAATGAGCAAGTATCTAAGAGCCCATGGATAACCATGGATAGAAAGGGTGCTAACACCTTCCCTTTCTATAAATCTACCTCCCGAACCGAGAATTAATCTCAATAAGGAATTTTTCTGTGCTTTTGTCCTTTCCATGTTGGAGAAAATAAAAGACGGTGGCGACTCTTGCTTCCGCGACATTTCGCGAACCAGCGTTAAACAGTCAGTTCCAGATCCACCGATCACACATGCTAATTTACTCTGATTGTACAATATATTTACATGGGGAACTAGAGGGTGTTACATTAGCGGTATCAGAGTAATGGTTGGTCAGATTGGCTAAGTTATTAATGTGTTTATTCCCTTAGTACACGACATGTGTGTGAAACAGTGTTGGTATTTTCCTATTTTTCTAAGCACTTGTTTACAAGAGAGAGATTGAAACAAGTTAGGGAGAAGCTATTGCTACGTGCGACATTATGCTTAGGTAACTTTGAGCATAAGATAAAGGACACTATTGTAGTTGGGTAATGATGGTTTATGCCACCATCATGGTTGTCGACTATCTATTGACAAATTGAGGAACTGATTACCCTTAATCTCTTGTTAATAGTAGATAGAATTATATTGGATGGAATAGGCTTGTCTTACCAGCTTGATAGTATGTAAAGTGAATGAGTATGTGAAGGATGGTGTTGTGTTGTTGGATTTGATGGAAACATTGGATGTTTGTGAGAAGAGGGTGATGGATGATTTACCAATCGTTCATGATTTTACTGAAGTGTTCCCCGATGATATAAGTGATTTACCGCCAGAGCGTGAAGTGGAGTTTATGATCGACTTGGTTCCTGGAACTAGTCCAGTATCAATGGCTCCGTATCAGATGTCCACATCTGAGTTGAAAGAGTTGAAGAGTCAACTTGAGGATTTGCTTGAGAAGAGGTTTATTTATCCGAGTGTGTCACTGTGGGGTGCACCTGTTTTGTTAGTTAAGAAGAAGGAAGGTTCTATGAGGTTGTGTGTAGATTATAGACAACTGAACAAGGTGACTAATAAGAATAAGTATCCACTTCCAAGGATTGATGATTTGATGGATCAATTGGTTGGTGCTAGTGTGTTCAGTAAGATAGATTCGAGGTCTGGGTATCATCAAATTCGTGTGAAGGCTGAAGATATTCAGAAAACTACTTTTAGAACGAGGTATGGTCATTATGAATATTTTGTGATGCCGTTTGGTGTGACCAATGCACCTGGCGTGTTTATGGAATACATGAATAGAATTTTTCATCAATATTTGGATCAATTTGTTTTTGTGTTCATTGAAGATATTTTGATCTATTCAAAGAGTGAAGAGGATCATGCTGAACATATGAGGATTGTGTTATCTGTGTTGAAAGAGAAGCAATTGTATGCAAAACTTTCTAAGTGTGAGTTTTGGTTGAAGGAAGTGAGTTTACTTGGTCATATGATATCAAGGGGTGGTATTACTGTTGATCCATCGAAGATTGAGGCTGATGTTATACCCCCGTTTTTGCCTCTAAGATCCCTCATCATACTCTGTACATCTCACACATAGCATTGGTCCCATGGTTACAGGATCGAAGAGCTTTGGCATTAGGGTTTCTCTCTATGAATTAAGGCTTCTATCTTACTCCAAGTTGATTCAACTGGCGCTCTTATCATTCTTGGTATGAGATTAGGGTTTTGGTTTACAAGCATCATGGATACTTTCCTTGAAAATATTCCTTAAGAACACAAGGTTTTCTTCAAGGAATAAGGGAATTAGGGTTTAACTCAGCCAGAGGATTAGGGTTTTTTCTATGTTATACTCGAGCTTGGTATTAGATTTTCAACAGGGGTTCATCATGCTAGGTTTTGGTCCTCAAGGCTACAAGGATCATCATTTGTTCCTTAGTATGATTTCATCGACGTCATTTAGGGTTCCTCTTAATTGCTTACACCACAAGTCAACCCTTCTCAAGAAGCTTAAAAGATTGAATCAGGGTCTCCCTTCTTTTGTGATAGTGGTCAAGTGATTAAGTATGGCTTTGGGTTTTCAGCATAGTATTTGTTGACTAAAGAGAGAATATACAGAATGTTAGGAGTTTGAAGATTCCTATGATCAAGACCTTGTTATCTTTTGTTTTCAAGCTAACTTGGATTTGAAGATTGAATTAAGGAATGAGTTCATTAGGGTGAAATATTCCTTTTAAGGTTGGTTCGAAAGAATTCGTGATTATAGTTTGTGTGGAATACGAAATTGTTAGCTCAAGCGTATCTCAATTTTCTCAAGAATCAATTCAAAAGGTAGAACCACTCATGTGGTTTGTTCGAAATACAAATAAGTAGTACAAAGTGTGGGATTCAAACTATAAGGCCTTATTCAAGGTGTCGAATTTCATTCAAAAAAATCAATCAAAATCCCTTCAAGATTATTCAAATTTACACAAATTCAGGTTATTCAAAATTCATCAAGTTTTTATTCAAATGACATCATTTGAAAATTGCAAAATAAAAGTCTTCATTATGATACAAAGATACATTCAAAGTTTCTGATACAATGCTATATTACAAGTTGCAAAATATAATACAGAGTAACAAAGTTATCAAAGCTGGGAGATCCATTACATTCTCAGTCATCACATCATGTTACAATACTGGAAAAAAAACACCAACTTTATGGTTAAATATTCAGTATGATGCATTCTTCAGGCAACATAAGTTGAACATGAAAAGCATTATACTTTCTGTTTCTAAGAAGGTGCACACAGTTATATCTCATCACCTGAAATTTGTTTTCTGAAAGGTCTTAAACCGCTCGTCAATGTAAAAAGAACATAACTTGTCTTCCAGTTTCTCGATAAGAATGGTACCGACCCATCAACCAATCAGACTTATGGCTCGCTTTTAAAAAAACTTACGTTTATCAAGACATTTGCTTATGGAATTCCTATCCCCAAGGGATACATATGGACTGTAGAGGCTAGTTATCTACCGCCACATACCTCTACGGTCACAGACACACATAAAGTGAGACTGGAAGTTTACGCACCGGGTTGTTCAAATGATGACTCACTCAGCTTTAATTACAGTTATGATCCTCTTGATGAGTACCTCCAATTCATTGATGATGGTACCTTCTCCATCAATGGTGTGCTGTCTGATAATCCCGTAACTCCATCTGCTGCTATAGGTTGATTTTCTCAACTGGTCCAAAACCGATCAACCATTCTCATATATCGAAACAACCCTGCAATCAGATTCAAACAAAAAAAACATTAGCATTATGTAAGACCATTTGTTACAGAAATCATGACCTCAATTTTAGCCCAAATTAACTAACAATTAGCTAAAATTTTTTAGTTCAAAAGAATGACAGAAAATCAGAAGTGCAAGAGGAAGTTTGTGATCACCTAAGTTGGCGAAAATGAGCCATTTGTATCAGAACTTCTATCAGGCCTTCCAATCACTATTGTAGATCTTGAACCCTATTAGATACACTCCTTCTATGAATATGTTGCTCATTTGGTTCAAGCAGGGTATGATTCACAAAAGGGAGATGAATATATTCATCTGTGGATGAGGCTCCCTAATCAGAAAAAGGGATTAGAAAGATGGCAGCTAACTGACAGTTTCCGCTCAACTAACAAAACTGCTAACAACTCCTAAACAAATTTCCAAACAAAATTCTCTAACAGTTTTTTAACCAGCTTCCCAAAATAGAAGTGTAAAAACTCTGACCAACCGCCTAATTGTTTCTAACAGATTCATAACTTCCATAACTAATCTCTACCAATTCCTTAACTAACGTTCTCATAACAACCAAAACAGAAAATAACTTCTAACTGCATATGCCTAATAATCTAGTACATAACCCAAACCGATTTCTAACCACCTAATCTCTACCCTCCATTCCATAACAAACTCTCAAAAGATCTAACAACTAAGGGCTTCTTACTTGAACCCATATAACAGAATCGTAATAGAATCAACAGGGGGAGATGGATTGATAATAGAAAAATAAAAGTAAATAGAAGATTCACCTCTGAATCTCTGGGAGATTTTTCGGAAGCACTCTCCATCTTCATCTTAAACTTTCCTAATTTTTGAACCTGGATGGGAATTTCTTCAATCCTCTCCTGAATTTCATGCTTCCTTCTCCATCTTTTTTTCTCCATCCTCTGTAATTTCCCTTCATCTTCATCTCTTAATTCCTCCTACTCTCTCTTCCACGCTTCTACCTTCCGCTTCTGCATCAATATCAAAGCATTTCAGCATCCTCAAACCTTCAATCACTATCATTCAGCAATCATCTCTCAACATCCAGCATTTGCGAATCGACATCATCACCATTATTCAATTTCTAAACTCGATGTAGCTTCAACAAAAGGATCCGCAAAACATAATCAACAATCGCAAGCACTGCATCATTAATGAACGCAAATGCAAAGTTGGCAAAGAAAAATAAGGAAGCAATAAACTGTAGTCGGAGCGAATTCAAAACTGAATGCAGAAGAGCAGAAGGAAGGAGAATTGAAAGTAAGGAGAACATACCTCTGTTTTTTGTTTCTCTTCGCCACCGACGAGGACGCGCCAAACGAACTCCGGTAGGTAAGCATTTCTCTCTTTTTGTCGCTTACATCGTTTGGTTCGCATGTGTGCCAAATTCAGTAAATCTTTGAAGAAGATGATATGAACCATGGCAGTGATAGGGCGAGGCGTATCTGAGCTTTGTTAAGGCTGAGAATCGATCAGAAGCAAGAGAAGACGAAGGTCGAGATCGGAACTGAGTCACAAGAAGAAGCCAAACAGAATCATTGAGATGATGAAACCACGACGTAGAAGCTTCGATGGCTAGCAGCGATTCTGTCGTAAAAAGTGAATCAGAGAGGAATAGGAAATTGAAGCCACAATGCTGTAAGTGATGGAGAAGAAGCATCTTACGGCGCCTGAGGACATGGCTTCGTGTTTTCGAATTAAGGCCATTAGATACAATTTCTAAACCATATCTTCCCTTCTTGCATTATTTTTTTGACAATTAATTAGTTAAAGTTCAAAAAATGGATACGGATTTGGTGGCTGGACCCTCTAAGCCCATCAGTTTTTTTTTTCTTTGTGAAGTTTGGAAGAACTGAAACAAAAAATGGCATTTGGACTTCATGGTGATGGGCCCTAGCACCAATAGCTTGCTAGATATACTCCCTAAATCCAGTTTACACCCCTGTGTAGAGTTGTTTTTAGTTATTCTTTAGTTTTTTTTTTGTATATAATTGTTAGGTAATTTTTTTAATAGAAATTAAAAAAAAAAGAATAATAAAACAATAAAAATTGTTAATTATTTCTTAATAATATAATAGAATTTTTCTAAGATTTCTTTTTTTAGCATTTTTCTAAGATTTCTTTTTTAGAATTTTTGTTAGAATTTTCTACTATGGTTTATGTTCGGTAATTATTTTGTTGTCGCGATTTTATGATTCACTTTGGTTTGTCGAGATTTGAGTCTTATGCAGGTTCAGTGTATGATATACGAACATGCTTAAATTTCATATTGTGATTTATTTTCACATCGATGATGCTTCGACGCTTATTCTGAGCATTGGATTTCTGACTCTCTTCTCTGTTTGCTTGGTGAAACTAGCATGAAGTATTCCGGGTTTCTTTGCTTTGGTTGCACTTTTTGAGGACATTATTGTTCGTTTAGTATTATACTGTTTACAATCTATTTTTATGCATTTTATTGCTTTCTAGATATCATGAGAAGTAGGAAATAAAGTGCGTGCACTCGAAGTCGCTGTTTAAAGACCTGTAGCAGGAATTCCGCACTTCATTTGTTATATGTGTCATGCTTGTGTTTATTTCCTTCGTTGTTGATCGATGAGTCACTCAATTTAGAAATTGAGATCACGACTTCGCTCTCAGTGCATGCTCCCTATATGATTTTATCGCTTTCCTTTATTTCTTGTTGATCGATGTGTCACTCAATTTAGAAATTGAGATCACGACTTCGCTCTCATGGTATGTTCCCTATAGGATAGTTTAGTAAACTTTATTTGGCATGCTAACTTAGATAGGATCACTCATTGCATGATAACATCAGATTAGATTTAGGTTAGTGTCTCTTTAGACTTTTCTTTCTTCTTTTGCATAATTGCATTTAAAACTAAAACTTCTTTTTCTTGGCAAATGTATAAAAAATGCTAAGCATACAAAAATTATTTTCATGGTAAAAAATACCAACCAATCCATTTCTTTTTGCCATTCGGCTTTTCTCTTCTAAGATCATGTTAGTTCCTTTCCACTACAGTTCATAAGTCTCCAAAGGTCGAGAAGTGGTGGAATGATCGAATTCAACATTGTTCATTTAAAAAATACAAACAAACAAAAATATGTGAGCCGAACTACGACACTCAGATTCCTAAAAAGAGATACGTAGACATCTGGTCACGGGGCTCAGCTGAGATAAAATTTATAAATATTTCCTTCTTTTCCCCGTGTTTTCTTTGCATTCATTCCCTCTTAGTTTATAACTCTTAAGCATTATATTGAATACACCCTTTGATTAGAACAACAAGAGTGGATTCCATAGAGTACTACTGACGTGTGGGGTGCTAATACCTTCCCCTCGCGTAATTAAATCCCTTACCCAATATCTCGGTCGCAAGACCTTGATTTCCCCCTTTAGGTTTTTCTTCGATGATTTTCCTATCCCTTTTATATGGGATAAATAAATACTCGGTGGTAACTTCATTGATTTTACCGCTACAACTGTGTCTCAATGGGAAGCTTTAAAATCTATTTTTGAGATTAGAAGTTTTCTTGGTTTAGTAGGTTATTATCTAAAGTTTATTGAAGGTTTTTCCAAGTTGGCGTTACCATTGACGCAGTTGACTAGAAATGATCAAGCCTTTATTTGGACTTCGCAGTGTGAAGCTGGTTTTCAAGAGCTTTAGAGAAGGTTAACAACTGTTTCTATTTTGATTTTGCCGAATCCGGCAGAACCTTTTATGGTTTATTGTGATGCTTCTTTAATGGGTTTAGGATGTGTGTTAATGAAAAATCAGAAGGTTGTGGCTTATGCTTCAAGGCAACTTAAAGTTTATGAGAGGAATTATCTGACACATGAATTAGAGTTGGCCGCAGTTGTGTTTGTCTTGAAACTTTGGAGGAATTATTTGTTTGGATCGAGGTTTGATGTGTTTTATGATCACGAGAGTTTGAAATATCTGTTTGATCATAAAGAGTTGAATATGAGGCAAATAAGATGGTTAGATGTCTTGAAGGACTGCGATTTTGGTTTGAACTACCATCTAGGTAAAGCAAATGTTGTAGCTGATGCTTTGAGTAGGAAGTCCTTGCATATGTCGATGTTGATGGTGCAAGAGTTGGATTTACTCGAGCAATTTCGAGATTTGAGTTTAGTTTTGAAGAGACTTCTTCTAGTGTTAAGTTTGGTATGTTTAAGCTTACTAGTGGTATTCTTGATGAGATTTGAGAAGGTCCGAAATTTGATTTGGTTTTGGTGGATAAATTGATGTTGATCAATCAAGGACGAGATGGAAATTTCCAGATTAATGAGAATGGTATTATGAGATGTCTTGATAGAGTTTGTGTTTCAGATTTGGTTGAGTTGAAGAGGCTTATTCTTGAGGAAAGGCATCATAGTGTATTGAGTATTCATCCTAGTGCTACTAAGATGTACCAAGATTTGAGAAAATTATTTTGGTGGTCTGGTATGAAGAAAGATATTGCAGAGTTTATGTATTCTTGTATAATTTGTCAGAAGTCTAAGGTTGAACATCAAAAATCGTCTGGGTTATTGCAACCGTTATCCATTCCTGAGTGGAAGTGGGACAACATTTCTATGGATTTTGTTTTGAGTTTTCCGAGATCTACGAGTAATTGTGATGCTATTTGGGTTATTGTGGATAGCTTGACGAAATCTGCTCACTTTGTTCCGATTAGGATAGATTATCCGATGGAAAGGTTTGCTAAGTTGTACATTGAGAAGGTTGTAAGTTTGCATGGTGTTCTATCGAGTATTATTTCTGATAGAGATCCGAGGTTTACTTTGAATTTTTTGGAAGGTTTGAAGATGCTTTGGATACGAAGTTGCGTTTAAGTTTGGCGTATCATCCGCAAACAGATGGTCAAACCGAGAGGATGATTCAGTCACTTGAGGATCTTCTGAGAGCTTGTGTTTTGGAGCAAGTAGGTGCTTGGGATAATTACTTGCCTTTAATTAAGTTTACTTATAACAACAGTTTCCATTCGAGTATTGGAATGACACCGCTTAAGGCTTTGTATGGATGAAGGTGTAGAACTCCATTGTGTTGGTATATATCTTGTGAGAGTGTTGTGGTTGGACCTAAGATAGTTCAACAGACTACAAATAAGATTAAGATGATTAGAGAAAAGATGAAGATTTCCCAGAGTCGTCAGAAGAGTTATCATGATAAGAGGAGGAAGGCGCTTGAGTTTGAGAAATATGATCATGTATTTCTAAGGGTTACTCCGGTAACTGGTGTTGGTAGAGCTTTGAAGTCGTGTAAGTTGACACCGCATTTTATTAGTACTTATCAGATTTTCGAGAAAGTAGGTGAAATGGCATATCAAATTGCTTTGCCACCGTCACTTACTAATCTTCATGACGTGTTCCATGTGTCTTAGTTAAGGAAATACATTGCGGATCCGTCTCATGTTGTCCTATTAGATGATGTGCAAGTAAGAGATAATTTTACTATTGAGACATCGACTATGCAAATAGAGGATAAAGAAGTGAATAAACTCTAAGGTAAAGAGATCGCTTTTGTGAAAGTGGTTTGGGGAGGACCGACAAATGGTAATGTGACTTGGGAGTTTGAGAGTCAGATGAATGGTTCGTATCCCGAGTTATTCGTTTGAGATAATTTTCGAGGACGAAAATCTTTTAAGTAGGAGGGGGGAGGGGGGTTATAACACCCCGATATTTATTTTATATTATTTAATTATTTTATTAATTATTATATTATATAGTAATTGATTTAATTGTGTGATTTGGTGAATATTTGAATTATTTGAATATATGTGCCATTTGAATAATTGGAGTTATAAGTAAGAATAGTAAATAATTATAAATGAGCTTTATGTCATAATATAATGGGTAAGTGGAATTATACCCATTAATAAAATAGAGTAGTAAGAAGCGGCATTAGAATTAGTATTGTCATAAAACAAAAAAAAACAAAGAAGAGAAGAGAAGAGGAGAAAGAGGAGAAAAAAGGAAAAGTGAAGAGGCAACCTTAAAGACTCTACACTCAAGGTAAGAGTGAGAATCTATGTTATTACGAGAGTATATTATGTGTAGTAACATGTAATAGGATTGGGTATGCGAATTTCTAAGTTTTGAATCACCCAAATTGATTTAGGGATTTAGAAATTAGGTTTTTGAAATCTAGTTTTTATGATATAAATAGGTTCCCTATGATGTATACATGTAGAATATGTTTACTTGATGAAAAATGGGCACTAGAACATGTCTCAATATAGATTTTCGTGTATGGACAGAATGTTGTTCACATAAACTTTTATGGTTTTCGCAGGGGGCACTTAGCATGGATTAGAGCGCTTAGCGCGGGTGGCTGTAAGTTAAAAAATTATTTTATGCATGAATTATATTGAGATCTTGTATGTTATGATTTATCATAGATTTACATGTATTTTAATAATTTATTTGACTTAATTCAAATTGGTTTTGGAAGCATTTTTAGGAGAAACTTAACACTTGAAATGTATATGTAAGTGTTGGAATTTGATGATGTTTGAATATAACATGATTTATATCTAATTGCTATATATTATGATGATGTGTTGAGATGATTTCTACTATAAGATTGTGTATATGTGATTGATTGACATGAAAGATGTATGTTGTGCAATGTTGTGAAGATAATTCAAAATATG